CTTTGCGGATAAAAGACGGCGCGAAAATGGACCGTTTTACAGCTGAGTACATAGCTCAGAATGATTTCTAGACTGCATGTCATATTGTAACTTCTCCGAAACAGTGGGGCTCCTGGAATTGGTACAGAGAAAATTTAACAAGAGAACTGAGTCGTCTTAACCGTCCCATCGTTGAATGGAATAGGTGGGAGATATCGTTACTCACATGTAGCACGCGCCGTTCTTTCACAGTTCTTTCACACTGCCTGTTGAACAGGATGTGCTTAATGCGTTATTTCATAAGGGCATGTGAATTCCTCGGATGCATTGCAAAAGCCATGTCATTGACACTGATTTCTTGGAATGCATTTAGATGGACAATCTGTACCTGTCTAGTGAAGGATACAGACATACATGCCTGGAGGCCTATAGACCTACTACCGTGCGATGCACACTTTGCGTGTACCGAGGTAGCTTGGCGGCTACTGTTACAGATTCTCAATGCGGTTTACAGTAACAAACATCAGAAAATTCCCGTGAGACGACCAGCGCGGACAGAACGGCAGGCAACGCATTCAAAGTAATATCTTCCGTATATTAATTACATTACACCGTCGGTACGGATTTATCAATACTCAACGATAAGAACGGCCATGGCTCTGTTAATGTTTGACCGTTCTCAACAGCTGCTGCGTAAGTCCTCATAGGAGAAACCAAGATACAGAAAAAATCAAGGCATGTATTTGTTTTACGAGCTACACATTCCACTGCCCGTAACCTCATATCACTTTACTATTAGTTCTATAATTGTCATATATATATATATATATATATATATATATATATATATATATATAAGCAATCTATTGCACGTATTCTACGGCGCGCAATTTCGGGACCGTATGCTTAACAAGATGGTGTCAGTCCATCGAACGCGACCCAACCAGATGAATATATAATCACCATGACACCTCGCTGGGCTGTCATAGTCGCTACTGGTCACCGGACACGGACGGTATTCCTGCCGACCAATTCTCGCAACTTCATCAGGGCTGCAGAACGGGCCTGGCGTATCCGCTCGAGCCTAGGCCGCAGCTGTGGTGGTGAAACCGCGGTGTATTTTTGAGTAGTTTGGCTGCTTTCCATTGCATCCTGGTACAAGTTCTTTAATCGTGACCTTATGATATGGTGGCCCTAGATTGAGACGAGTGCCGAATTAGACGGTTTAGACGAATAAGATTGAGATTAAGAATGACTTGCTTGTCGGGGCTGCTCACAATACAGTGTGGGCGCTGGTACTCTGGAGGCCACGGGTAGACTCGTTGGACCGATAGGCCGCGCCACCGGTCACGACGGAAGCCGACGACAGACGCCGGTGCCGCGGAGATGCGTTGTGTTGACTGAAAATATCCGCTTGCTGTGACAACGAGCAGTGTGCACACATCGCATCAGCTTTCAATAGCAGCTGCATTAATAAATGCATAACATTTGCACCACATTGAGGCTATCACCAAGCCCAGACAGGAAATGTACCACGTTAGCTTTGTTGACACAAACGACACGCTTGGTGATATTCGGAGTGATCAATAGGCAGATCCAAGAATTTCATCCCAGAACGCTGATGGACCGTGTCATCGCTCCGTGGTACAAGTTCGACAACGGCTATTTCTCGAGTGGGGCAAGGGCTGCCACATCACGCGAAGGGCTCGTCCATGGCGCCTGGGTGGCCCAGGGGCATCACGAGAACACATGGGTCACTGCTGGACGCAGCCCGTTGGCATGCGCTGCAGGTGATATTTCTCTCAGTGGCCTGCTGCTATGTTTGTTTAAAGCCGTTTGAGCTGCAATATTTCAAACATCAGATTTCAGACATCTTTCCGCAGACCGCCCAAGCCAACTTGAGACCCAACCACCAGAAGCCGCCATACCACGTGTGTGAAGTTTGTTCGATGATGACGATATTAATGATGGGCTCGCTTGATGATCATGATAATGATGATGATTATCTGAGTTTTAGAGCGCGCTGACGGCATTGGTCATATGCCGCCCATAGCACCACTTCGATATTCGTACTCAGCAGAAATCGACGACTCATCCGATCGGGTTGAAGCTGTACCGGTGGTAGCCCAAAGTGCTTGAGGCATGGTACACAAAAGTTTTTGCAGTTCATCAAGCGGTCTTACCCTCAGAAGTACAAAAAAATCAACTGTTAACTATCGACGAACACGATTATGGATATACATACACACACACACACACACACACACACATATATATATATATATATATATATATATATATATATATATATATATATATACCAAGTCCCAGTTCGTTGGGTCGCGTGCTGCAATCAATGGAAGGTAATGCCTTAGGCGAAAAAGTTCTTAGTCTTTTAAGTGATCAGCAGTGCCTTTCAATCAATATGTTTATTAAACAACTATGCTGAGGGCATTTTTGAAGTTTGCATAGCTGTTCAGTACATTAGCAAGCAGCATTATACGCATAGATAAGACAGTGGTAATAGCCCTATTCCTCGGAGAAACACCAGGAGAATGAAGGCATAGAATGTCGGAATGTCTATTTTTCCATTCTCCTGGTTTTTCTCCGAGGAATAAGGCTATTGCTATTGTCTTATCTATGAGTTTGCATAACGTTTCAAGAGTCGTCGTCGTCGTATATCTATGACGGCATTGGTCATATGCCGCCCATAACACCACTGCGATATTCGCACTCAGCAAAACTTGAAGGCTCATTCGATCGGACTGAAGCTGTACCGGTGGTAGCCCAAAGTGCTTAGGCATGGTACACAAAGGTTTTTTGCATGTCATCCATCGGTTTTACTTTTGGGAGTCCAAAAATATCAACTTTTGAATATCGGCGAGAACGATATAAATATATATATATATATATATATATATATATATATATATATATATATATATATATATATATATATATATGTGTGTGTGTGTGTGTGTGTGTGTGTGTGTGTGTGTGTGTGTGTGTGTGTGTGTGTGTGTGTGTGTGTGTGTGTGTGTGTGTGTGTGTGTGTGTTATTAGCTACTAGGACTTAAAGACGCACTCAGCTACTCGGGCTATGTGGCATCGCCTACCCCTCACCCTGGCAGAAAGGGCTGGCACCGCGGGGAATCGAACGCGGTAACTCTGGTCCCGCAGACGGGAAGTGTTTAACGCAGACGCATCGGCACTGCGCCATCGGCACTCACGCTTTAAGTGTGATGATGAAAGCTTACATCATGTTTGTCAATGTTTAGCGGTTGACATTTTTACAATTGAGGTTCAAACCACTCGATGCCCGACGAAAAGCATTTGCGTCACGTTCCGGGGCGCCCAAGTCTGTCGTTCACACAAATTTCGTCAAAGTGAAAGGCGTCAAATTCTGCTCGATATGAATATCGAACTATTGCTAACTTCACGTATGTCCGGTGCTGCTATTCCCATCCGCCACCCAGCACTAACCAGCAACTATGCATTCAAATACATTACATATTTTAAATTTTTCCCAGTTAAAGCGGATACGCAAAATGCTCATGAAATCTTATAGCAATGTTTTCTGGTTTAATCAATATGCCACATTACACAATATGCCACAAGTGGCCTTATGTCAGTTTTGGGGCTGAAACTGCAGTAACGACAATTTATTGAACTTTGCAAGTTTCTGTAAAAGCCCCATTACATTCTTAACGTTGCAATATTTATTGTTTCAAATTGGAACTGAGAAAGAGGAGGAGAAAAAGAATTGGAACAGGGTCACTCAGCAAAGTATGCCAGCTATTTCGTACATGTCGCGTAAGTCCGACAAAGAATAGGTTGGGTAATAATGAATAAATGCTGCCCAAAATAGGATACATCTTCGAAGAAATTAAGGCAGATCTCTCTCTCTCTCTCTCTCTCTCTCTCTCTCTCTCTCTCTATCTCTCTCTCTCTCTCTCTCTCTCTCTCTCTCTCTCTCTCTCTCTCTCTCTCTCTCTCTCTCTCTCTCTCTCTCTCTCTCTACACTAGCAATATAATTGAGTATTTCCGGTCTTTCTAGCTATCTAAGGACAAATCGGTAAAAGTGCCACGAGACTATGAGACGAATGCACGACAAAAGTTCAGCTGTTGTGGTGTTCAATGTTTTCAAACTTGCTACTTGTTTCTTGTTTGATGTTCTTCTGCTGTTTAAATAGCTCAGTGTTGTTAAACCCATGTCATGCTGTGTCAAAAAGCCTCTTACCAGGGAAAAGCCATGTTATCACCACGAAGATCGTAGGTTCTCGGCAATACAAGTTATTTTGATCAGAATCTAATCGACCTCCAGCTCACAACGAGGTGCTGATTAAGCGAAGGCCATCAACAATTAAGAGATCCAAAATTGATGTAATGTATAACGTCATGCATAATCATCATGAGAATGCTCAAACGTTTCAAAGTAGCACTCATGGCCACTCACGACCAAGGTGGAGCAAAAATGAACATCCAAAAAGCTCCTAAGAAGCTTGGAAGATAGAAAATGCGACGATTCTATGCAGACCCTGTCAATGAAAGGTAGATAAAAACACAACTCCTTCATTGGGCGGTGTTTATAGATATTATGGTTGTTGTCCTGAAAACAAACCACCTTAAATATACCGTGCCATACTGTACATGAAGCAGCCATTGAAATTTATTATGATTATGCTGACCGGGAAGTGGGATTTTTATGTTGTCATTATTCCGCCTTCAAGATACCAGGAGGGCCTGGTTAAAGGACATTACCAAGCAAGCATTGGTTATATTGAGAAGCCCGAAGTTTCGGAGGTCACACACGAGTATGCCATCATGCACACATTTACATCTACATGCATATCCCCACCTACATGCATCACACAATCATACGTCACCGGCGGACAATCTCCTGAGACTGGAGAAATACAGGGCATTTTCGCCGTGAGAGTTTTTTCCACCGGCGAATGGGTTACATTGACTAGCGAGGACCTCCGGATTTTCCCGAGACCGCCATCCAATTCGCTCCAACAATGCCTAACCGCGCCGCCGTGGCGTTCGGTGAGATTGGGACACCGGCGTAGTGCCTTGGCTCTGCTGAAGGGTCTGCTGTCAGACCACAAATGAAACGGAGATGAGGCACTTCGTAGTAGTTTGCGGAAAGCTAACATGAATTGTCGTCGGCATGCTAAAGCATGTGTGCAAGCTTGGAGTTTGTAATCCAGGTCAGACACGGCTGAGCCCTCAGCGTTCCAGTCGGTGGGCACGACTGAGCTGTCAGTGTTTTAATCGGTAGCCAGTCTCTGATAGCGTACGTTTGCGATTTCTTGCAATGGTCTTTAGTTGTTTGT